CTCCTTGAGACTAAACATGATACATGATATCATGATACATGAGAAACAGTAGCTTTATTTTATTTATATATATATATTGTGGCGGGACGACCAAACTACAGACACAGTGGGTGTGTCGTCAGGCCTCGGAGAGGCTTTTATTAACAAAATATAAACAAAGTGTCCAGGAAAAAGGGCAATCAAGTATCCAAAATAAAACAGGGGATCTGGCGTCCTCATCGTGCTGCTGATGATGGTGATGCTGATAATTAGGGGGAGGCAGCCGACTCGTCACAATATATATATATATATATATATATATATCTCTATCTCAGGCCCGGCGGAAGGATGGCATAACTGGGGGGGCATTTCAATCCCATGGGGGGGTGGCACTACTTATAATGCGCAATGACAAAACAGACACGTGCATGCCCGCTTATGCAGTCACGGATAAAAAAAAAAAAAACATGAAACCAAAATGTAAAAACCCAAGTAAATTATATTGCACAAAATTTAAAAATGAAAGCAATTTTTTCAAACAATGGTCACAGATTGAAAAATAATAAGCATAAATCAAAACTTTAATAAAGCATTAAAAAAAAAAAAAGCATGAATCAAAACTTTAAACACATTTAAAATCATATTGCACAAAACTGAAATATTAATGCAAAATTACCCAACTTGCAAACAAAATCATGTTTTCCTTGGTTATATTTCTGTTTTTTGTGCTCTCAGACATTTTCTGCTCATATTTTTATTTATTTTTTGTATGCAAATGGTGTTTTTTCACTTCGCTCTTGTTTCTGCTTTGCTTTTCCAAATGTTGCAGTTTCATGTAAATCAGGGCGGGCTTAAGCATCATCATTGGTCCACTAGTTCTAGACAGCTCATCCTCTAGCCAATCAGTCGAAGAGGGGAGTTGACGCCACTCCAATGCGCCTCATTAGCTGCCAATGCTCAGTATATTTACTTGCCCTGCCAACTTTGTTATATTTTTCTTATTAGCAAAGTATTTTTTTATTTGCTAAAAATATTTATAATATAGTTTATATATTTTTTCTTTTTTTCAATTTCTATTTTTTTTGTTTATTTTTTCAAAAACTAAACTTGCAACAATTTAAACAACCTCATCTATGTTATCTAGCTATATAACATTATCCTGGTAAAAAAATAAACAACAATATACGGTGCTTCGCAAAAAACACACATTTAAGTTTTGAAACCATAAAAGTGGCAGTGGGTGGCATTTGTAGGTGCTTACTGCTAAATTCAACGCAAATATATGTGATATATTAGCAGTGGTGTGCTGTGTGACAGGTGAAATGGTGATTTCTTTTTTACTGCACTTGGATGTAAACCTCCTGTACTGCAAAAAATTATTTTCTTACTCTGTAAGAAAGTATTGTTTTCCAGTACATATATCTAAACATACTTATATCAAGATACACTTGAGAAGCAAATTGACATATTACGTTATTATTTTTTGTTTTAAGCAAAAACTCACTTAATTTTTATACATATTTTAGGAAACAAAACATAATATCTTATGTCATTTTGCTTCTCAAGCATATGTAACTTGACATAAGAATGTTTAGATATAGATAAACTAGAAAAAAATAATCATCATAAGAAAATAATTTTTTGCAGTGTGAATTGAGAGGGAGTTGTCAGTAAGTGGGTTCTGGTTATGAGGTCATTCATCAAGGAGGTTATAGAGGATACCAAGCTTCACTTTCATCTTATCAGCAAGGTCATGACCCTCAAAGCGTTTTCTGGCAGAAGAGCAGATAGGAGCTTCACTCGGTGCACTTAAGGCATGATTCATGAGGCATCTACAATACTCTGACAGGACAGGACGTCACATTCTTACAAAGCAGACCAGATAAAAGCAGAGGTTACACACACCTTCTTCAAAAAATACTTACAAAAACATCACATCATCCACACTAGTGCAAAGGACCATTAGCTGTTGGCAGCCAGTCCAAAGTGTTCATAAAGAATGAGTAGTTGTATGTGTCTGACGGAGAGAGAAAATCTCCGTAAGCCGCTAAATGTGGACTTCCCTCGTGCTGGAAGAACAACATTTACTTTAGAGCCGAAGCTGTTTTTTTAACAAATATATTACATTAATTGCATGGGACACACGACACCCCCCTGAGGCCTTGCAAAAAAAAAACCACATTGTTGGTGCCAAAGCCAACCACGCCTGTCTGTGTAGTCCATGCACCATTCGTGTGTTTCGTTTCATCTCAGGAAGCGGTCTTTGAAAGACAGGACAGAGCCAGACTGTAACTGCTTTATGAGGCTGAGAAACGTTTGCTTCCTCAAACACAACATAAACAACCAGTACATTTAGCAAGACTTATGCTGTCTCAATGGTTGTAACATGGCAAGTCTGTTAAATAATTAATAATAATTTGAAATCATAACCCTGATATAAAATAGGGCCAAGGAGTTACGTGGGCAATGTGGGTTTGAAACCGGCTTGCAAAATTTAGAATATTTCCCTATTTCTTCCCTTCATGTCCTGTCCTCTCTATACTATGAGTATATATAAAATAAAAAAATAATAATACAATTTTCTTAATAAAATAAATTTAAGAGATAAAATAAAATGTCCAAAATTGGATTTATAGAGATTAGAGATATAAATAGCTTTAAATAAAAAGCACCAAAAATATATTTTGATCCCTACTATGTATAGATAAAAAAATAAAAACAAAACAAAAAATATATTAATAAATACAAAATAAAATAAAATAAAACCATGGAAAGCAGTCCAAACCACCTGCAGGAATCTTACCTAGCAGTGAGGTGAGTTTGGACAGAAGGTCGGCCTGCACCATCTTGCTGCGGAGGCCCGTGTCAAAGGACAGATTAAGGAGGAGGCGAAGAGTGACGTTCAGGAGATCTTCATGTTCACAGGGCACCAGTTTCACCAGCTTCTCTACTGTATCTATCTCAGCCTATCAAAGCGAGAGAGATGATTGCAGTGGAGTGATGTAAGAAACTGCTGTAAGGTCAGTTCGTTAGTTCTCTTAGTCATGTGCCCGTGCCTTTGCTTGTTAACACATCTGCCTGCTCCAGCTGTGGTCAAACACAGCCACAGACAGACAGCCCAGCAGAAATATGATCCCCATTAAAGCCACTGTTCACAGCCTGGAACCAGTTTTCAAATCAAGCCTTCAACCTTAATAACTGCCTACATCTACAACCTTACTTTCACAGTCAGCGTCAAACAATGTGAGAGAACCATCACCTCCATAGCATTTGTCAAAGCTGTAACAATCTTTGCACAGCTGCCTTTACAAATGTGACAAATTTAGAAGATCAGAAATTAGCTGATTAATGAATCCAAATAAATGATTGCTGAGATAACCTTGGTTCTAGGGTTAAGTGTGTGATTGGTTGCAGGTGGAGGAAGTGTGGGATAAGTGGTCGACTACACAGTACAACTAAACTGTCTTGAAGTAGTACAGAACATCATATAAGCAACAAGTTATGAGAACAGGTGTGGCTGATTTAGGAAGGAAGGAGTAATAGGAAGAAAGTAACAACTGGGTGGTGTAGCCTTGTGGGGTTTGAACCTGCAACCTTCCAGGTTACACTCTTTAAACACAGCATTTAAACACCCCATGAAACCAAACTGGAGTTCTGGGGATTTTTGTCCATGTCTGTAAGCTTTGAGGGCATCTCTAAATGAGTGTACTTCTCAAAGTCAACAAAGTCACTTTGGATAAAAGCATATGAGAGTATTCCTTACCATGTCATTCTTATTTTCTAAGAAGATACTGAGTTTCTTGAGGAAGGACACCACCAGCACCAGGAGCTCCTCACTGTCTCTGTCCAGCGTTTTCACCAGAAGGTGGACAATGTTCTTGTTCCTCATCTTCAGCTCTGTGCGGGTGTCCTCAGACAGATTCAGCAGCAGGTACAGAGCAACTGATGGCATAGAAACGCAAGCAGCAAAGTTATCAAGACATTTTCAAATCTGTATTTAAAGAAGATAATATTGAAAGCAGATATTTTTTGTTGTTGTTGTTCAAACTGTATATACACACTACCACTCAAAAGTCTGGAGTCAGAAAGATTTAAAATACTTTAATTCAGCAAAGATGCATTAAATACATCAAAAGTGAGATTAAAGACTTTTTTTTTACAACAATACAAAATATTTCTAATAATTGCTGTTTTATCAAATAACCCACAAAAATTAGTTATCAGTTTCCACAAAAATGTTAAACAGCACAACTGTTTTCAGCATTGGCAATAATTAGAGCCCTGCATTTCAGCCCGAGCCCGACGTGGTCCGACTTATTTACGCCCTTAGGGCCAGACTTCGGGCCAATTTTAACGTCATAGCTCACACGCGGGCCGGACATTGGGCTTGTTTTAGGCTTCCCTTTCTTTTCATATTTTAGACATTCATCAATTAAGGTGATGGAAAAGATGTGCTGCAATGGTGGAATCAACCATGCTACCATGACTGTCAAGACTGGCTCTCACGGTGTTTAGTGTTAAAGCAGCATAGCAGCAAATGTGCCTTCAGCGCAGCTGGAAGAGTTACAGAAGAAAGGAGGACTGGATTAAAACTAAGGCTGTCCCCGACTAAAGATTTTTTGGACTTGTAACCCAAAGGTCACGGGTTCGAGTCTCGTTACAGGCAGGGGTTGTAAGTGGGGGTAGTGAATGACTAGCGCTCTCTTCCAACCTCAATACCACGACTGAGGTGAGACCCTTGAGCAAGGCACCAAACCCCCAACTGCTCTGTGGGTGCCACAGTAAAAATGGCTGTCCACTGCTCCTGGTGTGTGTATGTGTGTGTGAGCGCACTTGGATGGGATAAATGCAGAGCACAAATTCCGAGTATGGGACATCATACCTGGCTACACGTCACGTCACTTTCACTTTTACTGTTTCACATTGTGATATGCTTGAAGTGTTTTATATCTATGGATTTTACTGTGGGCAAGTCAAGTGTTGATTTTAAGGCTAAATCGATCAAACATGTGGTAAACTCACTTTAAAAAACAAAAACTTGTTTTTCTAAATTACCTTAATAAAAAAACAAAAATAAATATAACCACTTGCAATTAAAAACAGAACAATTTTAATGGCAATGTAATGGGGAGAAGGAAAAAAATAAACAGTCATGGGGCTCCAGTCGGACTCGGGCCGGGCTACAGCCTAAGTGTCTCTTTAATAATAAGCACCAAATCAGCATATTATAATGATTTCTGAAGGATTGTGTGACACTGAAGACTGGAGTAATGGCTGCTAAAAATTCAGATTTGCCATCTCAGGAATAAATGACATTTTAAAATGTATTCAAATAGAAAAGAGTTATTTTAAACTGTAATAATATTTCCACAATATTACAGTTTTTCCCCCAATTTTTTTAACCAAATAAATGCATACTTAATGAGCATAAAAGACTTCTTACCGACCCCAAACTTTTGGACTACAGTGTATGTATTCTTTCTTTTCTAATGCACTTATATTTGATATAATAATATTTTAATGTCTGATTTAATTTGTGATTATTTATTCAAAAGAGCAGTGGCATTTCTGCACCAACAGAATTGTAAAATAATGATTATGTTCAAAATGATTTTCTGATCACTGCTCTTGTCTTCCATTAATTAGGAAATGACAAACATCATCTATAGAAAGACAACTGTTTTTTAATATTGTATAGAATCATATTTGGCGTCAGTATCAGCCTGTCTAGTCAAAACACTTCTTTAAGCTGTAAAATTAGACATTTCTTTGTGGGGAACAATGTGTTCTACCTCTCAAAAGCTGTTCCTGTTTGGTCAGCAGTCCATGGTACTTCTTCAGGGCTTTCTCGTACTCCTTCTTCAGGTTCTGATTGTCTGGGTCATCGTCCCGTTTCAAAAAGTCAAGGACCTGGTCTATTAAACCCTTGTGTTCAGAGCAGTAATTAAAGGGCAACATTTTAATTAAAACATAACACCCATGCCCCCCAGACCCTTGGCATGACTTAACCTTTACCCTTTCTCTGACATCCTCTCGCTCTTTCACCTATGACCCCTGCTACACTGAAAGGATATCGGCCTTCTTTTTCTTCAGCAGTTCGTCCTGCCATAGGTCATAGCGCTTCAGCTCATGCTCAATTATGCTCATGCACAGCACTCCGATCTTGTAGTGAGTGATCAGGCCATGGAACTGGGAGAAACTGGAGATAAAAAGCTTATTTGTCTAACCTTCACCATGTTTCCAACCATGCCAAAATAAAGCCTCAACCCATGTCAAACACGCTCGCTCACCGAGAGTATGATGAATGTTAACCAAACCGTTGCAGACTTCAGGAGGATAACATCAGAAGGGCAGAGATTCAAGAATGATTCTAGCTTTCACATTTACCTACAGCCTCGCTTTTCATATGAGTCCTGACAGCAGCTGATGTGTCGTATTATGATAGGAGTATTTATTGTAGTATTATGATTCTCATGTAAGAAAATATATTCTCCTCATGGCACATCACCATTGTTGTGTCTCAGTTCGGAGCACAACACCCATCTAACTGAAGAGCGAGTCTTGGCTAGAGCGTGCAGATGTGCAGACCGTTTACCTGGAGAAGCAGAAGAAGACGTAGATGATGGTGGTTGCCAAATCGACACTCTGCTTCCAGTCTTCCCTCAGGACCCGGGCCAGCGCGCCCAGAGCTGTCTCTGTGGGAGAGCACACAAAACACTAAATGCTTTCATTGCTCATGAAAATAACTCATGTTGTGAATACAAAGTGGCAACGGTTTGAAATATGTGACTGCTTGTGAATATGGAGAATATGTTATGATATGGGCTGATGGGAAAAGAAGGAACACACTTGCAAAGAAGAAAATGCATTGTGGGTAAAAATCAAATGACATTATTTTTATTTAGATGCTAATGGGCAAATATTTGGAGGAAAGTGGAAAACAGGCTGTAGTGCTACAAATATAATAGAGTTACAGAGGCCAAAGGGGTCAAAGAGATTGAACACATGAAAGAAAGCAGAAATAGAAGAAACTTCCTTTTTTATGAATAGACCCTCATTGTCTGTTTTACTAATGCTTACTATTAGTGGCATTAAATTTAGCAGCCAGCATCCTTGCTGGATAAAAGTATTCTTAAAAAAAAAAAAAAAAAAATTAATCTTACTGACTGATTTTGAATGGTACACTGTAAATCAGTGTACCATTCAAATCAGTGACATTTACGGTAAAATACCGTAAAAATATTGGTAGCAACATTTTAGGTTTTACAGACTTAACTTAAATCCATAATAAAAATATATATGTTATTAACTGTTGTAATGTTAAACCAACCTACTGAAGTACTAATATCTGTTTTTATCCATTGTTATACACTGATAACCACCAAAAACAGATGGTGATGAGAAAGTCACATGATGAAAGCTCATCACAAACAGCTTTTCCACAAGCGAAGAGGGAAACACTGACGTATAGAAGGTGCACAGTGTCATTCCCACAAACACTAAACACCATCATGGTAACACACACATGATACTGAAATATAATGCAATAAACATTAATTTAATAACATTACGGTACATTCACACGGGGCGTCGGCGTTGACGCTTGATGGAGGGCGTTTCTGAAGCTTGGTGCTGACGCGACTGTCATAGTGACAATGGCCAATCCCATTAGTTTTCTGGTGTTGCATGAACGCCATTGGCTAGCGTCTGCACCAGGGTATTTGCATAAGGCAATCTGATTGGCTGACGTCTGCGTTGGCGCTTGAAAAGTTGAAGTTTTCAACTTCTGCCACGAGCAACGGACCCAACGCGACGCGACGGACCCACAACTCATTTCGGCAACACTTGACGTCACTCCATTCAAAGTAAACGAGAGCCGTTGACGCCGATGCCCCGTGTGAATGGAATGAATTAGATGTAAGATAAAACCCTAATGTACACAACTGATAAGAAAAAAACTAAAAAGAAACATAGTTATTTCAATGAAAAAAAACCATTAAATATGAAGTGTCATGCAGGGAATTCTGAGAATGTCAATTTATGTTTTTTCACCGTAAATTATACAATGACTTTATTTTTCACTTCCAAAGACTGTAATTTTAACAGTATTTTACTGTAAAATTACATTCAATTTAATTACAGTTATTCTTTGTATATAGCATGGAAACTTACTGTTAACCAATGAACAGGTTTTTACTGTAGCATTTTTACAGTCTTTTACTGTTAAAATCATTTTTTACAGTGTAGGGTACAAGTCTTTGAGCTAATATGACAAGCCCTTTTTCATAAGGTAAAGTGCAGAGGTTGAAAACATTTGGGCATAGAGATCCTTTTGTTATGAAGGAATGAATGAGGTACGTAAAATAATGGAATGAGAATGACTGCGAAGAGAGGATCATAATGTCCTAAATATGGCATCCTATAAAAGTGGTTGATATTTCACCCAACAATTAAAAATTTGTCATCATTTACTCAACCTCAGTTTGTTCCAAACTTGTATGACAGAGGCTGCGTTTACACTGCAAGTCTTAATGCACAGATCTGATCTTTTGACCATATCCGATTTTTTGGCACGTCTGTTTACATTCACTTTAGACACGACTGGTATCCGATATCTGTGTTTACATTAATTCCCACCCAAAAGGATTGTCTGCAGTGATCGCTTTACTATGCACATGGTAGACCCTCGGGTTTTAAATGGCCATGCTATTAAAATTATTTATATAATTCACGTCGAATGGCCATTATTATTTGCCAGCATGGACAACGGCTGTCATGGATGTTTTGCAGCACAAAATCTGACTGAACTGATAAAGACCGGAAAATAACAGTAATTTTAGACTATTTTATCTACAGCTCGTTAGAGGTAGAATTCTTTAGTGAAATAAAGATGATATTTATTGAAATGAATTCGAATTAATTAAGGAGAGAGAGAGAGAACGAACGAATGCATGCACCCACGTGCGAGCGAGCGATTGTGAAGCATTGCAAACAAGCTTGTCGGCTTAATTACAAAAACTGCTAAGTTATCACCTCATTGCTGAGAAATATATGTAGCTTTTAGCTGTTGTATTTTCAAAATTCACGGGGCGGGGGTTGAAAACCAGCTCCTGAATGTGCAATTTCTTACCTATAAAAAGTTTCCATCTCAATAAAATGCGAGCGAATACAGCACGCCGGCATTAAAAATCTTTATGAGCAAACGTGTCGCCCTCGCATTGGGAGTTCTGTGGAGAATCGGATATGTGTGTTTAGACGTAGGTCGGATGTCCAGATATCAGATGTGTATCCGATTAAAATCCACATTTGGAAGTGGCTCAGATCGGATGCAAAAAAATCGGATCTCGTGCGGGTTTTTGTGTTTACACGTGTGCAACAAATTCCGATCTGTGTCAGATGTGAGCGAAAGATCGGATTTTTTGTGCCAGTGTAAACGCAGCCACCGATTTTTTGGCACGTCTGTTTAAATTCACTTTAGACACGACAGGTATCCGATATCTGTGTTTACATTAATTCCCGCCCAGAAGGATTGTCTGCAGTGATCGCTTTACTATGCACATGGTAGACCCTCGGGTTTTGAATGGCCATGCTATTAAAATTATTTATATAATTCACGTCGAATGGCCATTATTATTTGCCAGCATGGACAACGGCTGTCATGGATGTTTTGCAGCACAAAATCTGACTGAACTGATAAAGACCGGAAAATAACAGTAATTTTAGACTATTTTATCTACAGCTCGTTAGAGGTAGAATTCTTTAGTGAAATAAAGATGATGTTTATTGAAATGAATTCGAATTAAGGAGAGAGAGAGAACGAACGCATGCACCCACGTGCGAGCGAGCGATTGTGAAGCATTGCAAACAAGCTTGTCGGTTTAATTACAAAAACTGCTAAGTTATCACCTCATTGCTGAGAAATATATGTAGCTTTTAGCTGTTGTATTTTCAAAATTCACGGGGCGGGGGTTGAAAACCAGCTCCTGAATGTGCAATTTCTTACCTATAAAAAGTTTCCATCTCAATAAAATGCGAGCGAATACAGCACGCCGGCATTAAAAATCTTTATGAGCAAACGTGTCGCCCTCGCATTGGGAGTTCTGTGGAGAATCGGATATGTGTGTTTAGACGTAGGTCGGATGTCCAGATATCAGATGTGTATCCGATTAAAATCCACATTTGGAAGTGGCTCAGATCGGATGCAAAAAAATCGGATCTCGTGCGGGTTTTTGTGTTTACACGTGTGCAACAAATTCCGATCTGTGTCAGATGTGAGCAAAAGATCGGATTTTTTTGTGCCAGTGTAAACGCAGCCTTACTTTCTTGTTTTTAAACCCAAAAGAAAATATTTTGTAAAAGGTCAGGGTCCAACATTGGAGCACACTGACCGTCATCGCACAGAAAAAAAAAAAAACACAAACATTTTTCAAAATACCTTCTTTTGTGTTCAACAGAAGAAAGTAAGTCATACAGGTTTGGAAAGCCATGAGGGTTGTAATGATGACAGAATTTTCATTTTTTGGGTGAACTATGCTTTTAATCATACAGTCTTACCTGAGAGCAAATCCAAGCTTTTTTATATTGTAATGTAAATGTATTTGAACACTAAAAATAAAATCCTAAACTGTTTAAAAATGACTCATTCTAGCCATGAGCTCCAGTGTGTGACGCACCGTTCTGCAGCAACTCCTCCAGATTGTCAGGGTTACGGGCCAAATGGAGGATGAGTGTAGCTCCTCTGATCTTCTCAGGGATGTCCTCATACAAGAGCTCAATATAGTCATCTATGCTATTAATATTGGCCTCCTCATCAAGCTACAGGACACAAGATAAAGCATTAAGTGAGTTAAAAATGTTTTTATACATTTTGGTTGAGGACTCAGTGGAAAACTATCATATATCATATGTGACACAAAAACAATGAAACAAATGCATATTCATTTCAGCTATACCTCCATGCCTTCAAAAGGAGTCAGGTCTCTTGGCTTGATCTGTTTCTTCTCTTTCTTTTCTGAATAAACAAAACATAAACAATCACTAAAGCACTGAAGAATTATTTATAATATTATTACCCCATTCTTCTTCGCATACCAGCAGATTTCTTGCGGTTCTGCAGGTAGAACAATAACTGTTCCACCTCAGGAAGTCTGGAAGGGGAAATGAGTCTACACTCCTCCACTACCTTCCGTGCCAAAGACGCAATGTCCGTGTTGGAAGTCAGGCTTTTCAGACGGATTCTGCAATCGGAGGAAAATTTTAGCTCTAAAAATCTACCACACAATCAATTTGCCAACTATGCCATTTATTTAAATGATCTCACATCTTCTGGCACTCCTTGCGCTCTCCTAGCATTGGGTCTCCCATCTCCCCCAGGATCGTAGCTTCCACTTCATACTGGACAACAAGGGCTTTTTCTGTGGGATGGACATCTAAACTGCCACCCTTATATTTCCTGAAGACAAAACATTACAGATTATTATTGTCTTAAGACATTTTTCCTATGATGGTCGATTCATAAGGCTCATAAAAATAAAAGTGGTACTTTATTGGTAAAACAATCGTGTTTTGTTATTGTTTTTTCTCAGACATTTTCCCTGATAGTACCATGTAATCCTTCAAAGCACCTTAATATATAAAAATATCATGGTAAATTAATAATGTAAACATTAAGTACCATTATAAACATAGCATTCGTACAAATACAATTTATTCATTTAATAACTCTATTGAATATGATGATGATGATCATGTGGTGGTGGTGATGAAGATAATGATTATGATTATGACCATATAAACGTCACCTTCAGACACATAAATATAAACTGATGCCATAATTTGAAAGAAAAGCCTGAACATTTTGAAAGTTGTACACATAAAAAATCAATATCTTACACCTTAGAAAACAACATTTACAGGCATATATAGTGTTTTTATGCAGTGTAAAGCTCAAGTTCGATCACTAACGTTACAGTTAATGACAGAGCTCGCTCGCATTACACAAACACTCACCGTTTTAAATATCTGGCGTCGTCCGATTGCATTGTTGCTCATAAATCAAGGCAAATAAACATGTGCGGTTGATTTCTGTCAGATGTTTTGACGTGTGTCTAATTTCTCGACTGCTTCATCGTTTCTGCTCTGACAGGATGCTGATGTTTGTGTTACTATGGGTGTGTACTGAAATTTCGTGAAAGAGCGAAGAAGCAGAACTAGGCGTAAGAATCTCTAGCGCCACCTGTACATGTGGAGGTATGTACCGCTCACTTGGAATACATGTGCTGGTTTGACTGTTGTTGAATTTGATTTGTATTGAATGTATTTATACTTATACTGTTTTTCTTCAACGCATTTTATGGTGCTGAATGTATTAGTTCAAGCCTCACTGATTTAATTATCTTACAATCTACAACTGGAAGTAAACTAGCTATTGACTTAGCCTCTAAACCCTAAAACCAGATTAGATTGTACAAATTATTGCTGTCAGAACAAGAATACAGACTGTAAGAATACAGAATACTTTTTAACCACCAATCCAGTTTTTATGCAGTTGTTGGACTAACAAATGTCTTGTTAGAAAAAAAAGTAAGTTAAGTACACAATTAAATGTTTAATTCATTACACTTTATAGCCTATATTTGCATCTGTAGATTTCAATTACAGCCCATTTTCTCAAAATGAGTTTTTTTCTCATGTGCTGAGCGAGACATCTTTACTTCAATAGCACTTGCATACACCAAACATTGTTGTTTTATTATTCTAAAGTTTTTTACAGAGGGATTTGTTCATAATATATCATTTGATTGATTTATATAACCTTTTATTCCTAAAAACATAGTGAAAATTGTATTTCTGACTGTCTACAGTATTTATGGGGTGGTAAAAAAAGATATCCAAAGAAAATCCAAGACATTTAACTGTAATTTGTAAACAAAATTGAATGAATTTTGAATCTGGCTTTATCTAATGTTCAGATTTATGTTCTGGAAATGTATGCAAATGAGTGCATTTGTAATTAAATAACGCCTCATTTACATATTTAGACATAACATTTCAGAAAACTTGTGGGCTAATACAAAAAAATGTCGTATTGTACTGTGATGAATCAGCTGGGGAAGTATGGTGATATCTTTTAGATTTATTAAGACCTCAAACAAAATGTGACAATGTTTGCAACATTTAAATATGGCTTTTTTGGACCAACTTTGTAAGACCTGCATTATTTATAAACAGTCTTCTCTAATTGCACTGAGCATGCTTTTCCAATTTAAGCACTGGTTCAGTTTTGGTTCACTGAATATCACATACACTAAGGTGATGATCATTTGGCAATTTATCCAAATTTCAAACTGCAGTCATATGAGTAACACATGGCCCATGAGCTGACATGACTAAAAATGATATCTTTCTCTCTCGCTCCCCCCCCCTCTCTGTTTTTTCACACTATTTGAATGAGTAACTCTAAAAACATTTCATTTTGGTGAATTGCATTTTTCTTATTGTAACATATTGCTGCAGTGTCAGTGCATGCAAACAGTAAGCAGCACCACATGTTCAGATTAGATCTGTCTTTGAACTTTCCTCACCACCGTGAACTTGCCACCAATACCATGTATACAAACATGAGAAGGCAGTGCTAAGAATAGCCACTACATAAGCCGCTTGCCGCTAGCTGTGAATGAATGCACGACTCTCTGGTTCATGTGTTGGTATGCACTAATATGCCATTCTGTGTCTGTGGAACATAGGAGAAGGAACTTATTCTGGAACTGGAGAAGAAGGCACCACTCCTCTTCTGAGGCAATCTTACCCATCCCTTTCTTATTCCTCCACCCCAGACCTAAAGCAGGTGATCTGATAAGATGTGGGAGTTTTAAGCACTCTGCTGAGAAAAGAACGCTCAACCGGTCAGTAACCAGAGGCCTCCTACAGATATAGCAGCACTGTGGTGTCTTTAGCATTTCTTCCAGAGATACCTTGAGCTACACATTATCACCTACGCTTTGAGTCACTTTGCAGAAGATTCAGAATGTCTGATTCCACCTCCATTATGGAGTTTAGAGGGACGCATCAAGCTTTCCGAGACCGCTGGGCAAAGACAGATGATGAGATGTGCAAGCACAGTATGTCTTTCCACTTGCACAATACGCTGAGGAAGGAATTCTTCGCCAGTTACCTGTACCTCCTGGAACAGATTCCTCTGGGTAAGATGTGGGTGTGGGTGGCACAGTGAACTGTATGAATTATGACCCTTTGAAGATTACTGACATTCACTGTAAATCTTGTTGTGATGAGAACAAGAAGTATGGAGTCGTAGAGTTGGAGTATGAAGTGCCAGAGTTGTCAGCATTTGGCCTGCGACCATTAGTATTCATGTTATTAGCATATCTTTCCCTAAAGCTTTTTCAAAATGATATCTGAAAATACTTTTGAACAACTATGCCTAAACCATAATATCCAATAGGAACAATAAATTTTCACTGTACAGTATACATACTATTAATTTAAGCAATCGATGTTATTTGAAGCATAATTGCATAACCATGTATATGCATGCTGCATATTTTACATTCCACTGAATAATAAAACATCAGCTGTGGCTTTATGTTGGTGTATTAGCAGCAATAGCAGCTGATTTCAAAGTATTGGAAGGCTTTGGAAATTGTGGTTGAGTGTTGGTGAAACATTGAGAAAACGTTAAAAAAACTTAACAAATCAATGATTTCTTTCAACAGACACAATCACACACATTTGCATTGTTACTGATGAGTTTGGTGTGGCATTAAAAATAAAAATGTTAAAATTAAGTGTTATTTCATGTGTTTTTGCTCAATATTAATATAGGGGCATATCTGTTAGTGTTTAATGTTGTATTATTTTTAAATGTAAAAGGGTGTCTGGTATGTGTAAGTTTGTGGGGTAACGACTGTGCAGAAGAGTAGAGCCTGTGGTTAGGAAGTCGATTGGCCAAATATTGTTAAATTATGATACTTAATTGAAAAAGTAATGGTAGTGCACTTTTCATCACATTACTAGTCTGCTCTCTAAGTGCTAAATTATGAGTAGGTGTGCTTATGCTATTATAAGCTGGCTATATTTTAAAATATGAAACGTGTATATCATAAATGATTGTTAAATATGAGAAATATATATTTCCATATATGTGTGTGTATATACTGCATGAATATGTTCAATACATTTTTACACATGCAGTACCATATCTTATCACATGTACATCTATATATTATAAAGTGTATTACTGAATATAAAATGACATATATTGTGATATATAAGTAAATATATTGTCACATATTTTTCAATATATGAAAAACAGCAATTCTTTATGTATTATTCAATATATTGTAATATATTTACACAATATATTATTCTGTATAATGTCTAATATACCATTATGTCGTTTAATATATTGATCATTCATATATTAGGAAATATATTTTCTTTGCGTTAGGGGTATTAAATTATATTTATAGGAATAATGCATAATTCAACATATTGGAAAGAGTTTTTTATTAAATTTAGAAACAGTGAACTATACTCTAAAAAAGTAACCCTATAAAACATCTTCCAGGTAACTAAAAGCTAGCAACAGCACTTGCTATTATCATGCAAAAATAAGCCTATATAATGTATGGAGTTTGTGGGAAGAGTAAAACACATAAAATTGCAAAACATTTACCCCATCAGCATGATGGAAACTGGAAATGCCTCGCAAATTACAGCAAAGTTTTGTTAGTGTCAGTGAAATTCTTCATAATGAATTACAATAAAATTAAGCATTAGCAGCAAAAATATTTTTAATGCATCATACATGACATCAACTGTGTTTTAGACCAAAAGGGAAGACAATCATTCATATTTTTTGGAGGACTGAAATTAACCCATCAGTGTTTTGTGCTTAGCTTAAAGTGATATTTCACCCAAAAATTTAAATTCTGTCATCATTTACTCACCCTCATGCCATTCCAAAACTTTATGACGTTCTTCCTTCTGTGGAACACAAGAGAAGATATTTTAAAGAAACCAGATTTTTGATCTCCATTGTATGGGAAAAAGCATTGATACATTTCTCAAAATATAATTTATGTTTCACAGAAAAAGTTTGGAATGACTTGAGGGTGAGTAAATGGATTTTTCTCTTTCACAGAAAAATGAGTATTAATGTCTGTTTTGGCTGAAATGTTTCCCAATGCTAGCAGGTTGTTTTAATGTTGCCTCATGACCAATAAGGCAAAGCAGATGAGTGCATGTTAAGCTATAAAGAGGGCCATCAAAAATATACAGGTCCAAAATAAAATAGTCCACAGGGAATTACTACCCAGTGTTACTATTTTTGACTTTGGACAAGTAAACTTGTGGTTCGCATGTCAAAGCCTGCTCACAATTTCAGTATCACAATCCACTGGCCCTGCCAGTTCTCTCTCACCTGTAGCCCTTCAGCAAGGTCTTCCCACTAATCATCTGGTGATCTGATGTTTGACTCGAACTTTCCAAGCATGCGTTGACTTAATGACTGGTCTGTCCTTTTAGTGACCAGCCATTCGAGAGAGCAGATGTTCCAGCTGAACTTAATAATGTGACATTAGACTGCTGCTGACAGAGTATCGCATGTTGGGTTGCTTTAAACTATCTAAACCCCTAAATGTGCCAACAAAGCATTCCTTTGCAATGTAGTACAACACTGTCAATACCAACAGTATCTTGATGCTTCAATTCCATTTGCAGAAAGAAAAAATCTTGGAAATTCAGATATGTTACTCCATAAACAGATGCTATTAATAACTGGTACCTTTCAAAAAACTACTTATGACTAAATGTTGTTGTGAATAGTGAATGAGAAGATACGATTGCATTGAAACTTCATCTCATAACTGTACACTTTCCATTGAGATGCTTTGATCCCTACATGCTTTTGATAACTACAACACAATAGATTTCTAGCAATTAAATGAATGGCTTATTTTTCCTCTGTAGTCTGTGAATAATTCAAAATACTCACAAAAACCTGAAAACTGTTGTGCATTTTTTTTTTACTGTCTATATGTTTATTGCCCTACAGTGAAACTCTATGCCGTGACTTGTGAGTACATTAAAGGCGAGAAGCAGTTTTACTACAGGGCACAGAATTTCTACAAGGATGTCCCGGCCTCAGAGGAGGGCATGATG